CAGCTAGGTGCCTGTTTCAGGACTTGAGGAAGCTTCCCCAGGGCCTTCTTTTTCTGAACCCCTCTGTCCCCCCACACCCCCACTTGAAGCCTTCTGCTCTTCGGAGTTCAGCTTGGGGAAGAGAGAAGGCCCCCCCAGCCCCCAGGAGACGGCAGGCAGGGCCGCAGGCCAGTCCCAGGCTCCTGACCCTCTGCTGGGCTTCTGGAATCTCTACAGCACCGTTGTGCTTTTAAAATGGGGGTGGGGGGGGAGAGCTGCAGCTTAAAACCCAAACAAGGACTCAGGCCAAGGGCCTCGCCCCCTGGCCAGCCTCATGCTCAGCTCCCCTGGCCGCAGCAGGTCGTCCCAGGCCAGGTGGGTCCCCACTCCGGCTGAAAGGGTCACGGGGCTCTGGTTGCCGCCCTCCGACTCTCCTTCTCCCTTTCACCCTGTCACCACCCACCCACCTTGACACCCTTCCTTGGGGCCGGAGGGGTGTGCAAAGGTCCCCTCTTTGTAACCAGCCCCTAGGCTCCCTATTCTAAGCACCTTGCCTCTCAGCGACTTCGAGGGGGTCGAGGGGGTGACGGCCAGAACAGGCCTGCTGGCCGTGCGACGCTAACTCGACCCGATACCAGCACTGGCCTTCTGGCTTGGTCTGCGACCCACGTGGCCTGGACCCACAGTGCGCCCTGGTCCAGAGCCTGAGGCGTGACAAGGGCCAGGCTGCGGGCAGCTGGGCAGAGGCCCAGCGCTGCCGCTCAGGAGCCCGAGGTGTGAGGCTGTGACAGCCGCCTGCGGGCCGGGCACTGTGGGTCAGGGGCCTCCAGCCTGGCGGCGGCTCCCAGGCCCCCCGCTGTAGGGGCTGCCGCCCAGGAAAAGGGGAAGGGCCACCGGCCGCCTGGCAGGCCTCGGGGACGGCCGGGCTCTGAGCGATGCCACCGTCCAGCTGGAGACGCCGCGCCTGGGGTAAGGCGGGGGAGCGGCTTTCTCCTGCCGCTGGGGAGCGGGGTCCCCCTCTAGGTGGGGCCCGGCCGCTGGGTCTCATACCCTCGGCCGCCGCGGCCATCCTGGAAGGACAGAGTTCTGGCTAGGGAGGGGAGGACCCGCCTGGGGCAGGCGCTGGCTGGGGAGGGGAGCCCTGCGGCTGCGGCAGC